GACCTCAAAGGATGTCGGCGGGTGCTAGAACATTTAATATCTGTAAATGAACCCTGTTTTCTATGCTAACATGAAAAATTAGAAATAACCAGATTTTCTTATGAAAACTCCTTATTAAACCAAAGAAGTAAATTGACTGTAAATTGTAGGCATAGTCTACCTTTTACCTTACAACATGTTTAAACTTTGAATTCCATAATACTTTTTCTTATACAAATAATCAGTAGATGAAGTGCGGTGCACCTTATATGGCTTACTATTCTATCTGTATGATTCATTTTGATTTAATATAGCTTTGTATTGATGTTTAGTTAGTATTATTAACATCTTAAATGGGTGTACAGGTGTTTGCTATTATTAACATCTTACATTGATTAATTGGTATTATTAACATATTATATGGATGCTCTTTACTTAACGATTGCATATTAATTTGCCAAAGTAGTTTTTTTTTATTTATGATCTGTTTTTTCCATATTTTTCTTTTTTGAAAGTTAAGTTATTTACCAATTTCTTAAAAGAGCCTTTTATTTATCAACTACAAAATTTTATGTAGGAAGCTAACCGAGCATATAACTAGTTACCATTATTTTAAATTATCTCCTTACTTCTTTTGCTTTTTACTTCTTAGAAATGCTGAACGCCAGACTTTTATACATCTTACGAAATAATGTAACCATTTGTATCTGTCCATAATGGAATTGTCTAGGATGTATATGCAGACAACTTCGTGTCATGAACTTATATTAAAAACGAAAATTTCGGTTGGTTTGAATATAGCGTCGGTCACATTCGATTGCCTAATCACAGTAAAGACCACAGGCCTATTTTAGTTCTGTTTTTTTTTTCTCGAAAAAAGAGGAAGTATTCTGCTTTTGAAATTAAATTAATCGTTCACTCACCAGTAATTTACAATCGCCTGAGGAGACACATTTGTAGTGCTGAAACATAATTGCCATTGTGTAGCGATTTTTAACATGTTTTTATTTTGATATCCTTATATATATATATATATATATATATATAAAGAAGTAATGGATTTTTTTATATATTAATCCGACAGACTTTTGTCACTTAAACGTAATTTTTAGTGGATACCCAGATTTGAGTAGACGCTCTGTTTTTATTTTTTAAATAGTATGTTTATTATCGTCTATCAGCCTGAAAATTCTAGAAATCTTATTAAAGAAAAATATTGGGCCCCTTGCTGAATTTGAAACTGCATCCTCCTTGGCAGACGAAACCGTCGTTAGATCCGACATGCTTATACCGACTCAACCACTTTTTATCACTTTAAACGTTATTTTTAGTGGATACTCATATTTCAATAGACGTTCCGTTTATTTATTAAACATCATATGTATTTATGTTCGGCCTGAATCTTCGAAAAATTAAATTTCCAAGTCGTTTTAAAACATGTCGGATCTGACGACGGTTCACTCTTACACGAGAATCAAGAAGGTAGACATAGATTCGGTTTTACAACGGTGCTATGTGATTATAAACTGTTGGGGTGGGGTGGGGTTGTCGTGGCAGATTTAGTCTCAGCTCGAGTCTCTCAGTCCAAGCCAAACGAACGACTGGTTCGTTTAGCTCCTGTAAACCATTGAAAAGAGTACTGAGCTGTTACATGACATCTGTCCTTCTTTACGGCAGCGAATGTTGGACGATTTCCTCAAAGATGAAGAAGAAACTCGATGTGACGGAGATGTGGTTCTACAGAAGGATGCTGAGGATATCATGGACCGTTGGCGGTCACAATCTTAACACCATAAGATACGCAGATGACACAGTACTAATAGCAGATACGGAAAAGTAATTACAAAATCTCCTACGGAAGGTAGCGACGGAGAGTGAGAAGAAAGGACTAAGCATAAACTACAAGAAGACAGAATGCATGGTCATCAGTAAAAGGATGAGCCCGAAATGGGATTTGCAGGTCGGGGACACTAGAATCAAGCAGACGCGGGGAGTTTAAATATCTGGGAAGCGTCTTGGCAGAGGACGGTAAGTGCGACACTGAGATCCGTAGACGTATTGGGATGGCCAAGGACACATTCCAAATGCTGGGCAGAGTATTACTAGACAGGAGGATTTCTTTGGTAACAAAGAAAAGAATACTGAGCTGTTACGTGACATCTGTCCTTCTTTACGGCAGGATGATTGTTGGATGATTTCCTCAAAGATGAAGAAGGGACTCGAGGCGACGGAGACGTCGTTCTACAGAAGGATGCTAAGGATATCATGGACCGTTGGCAGCCACAATCTTGACAACATAAGATACGCAGATGACACAGTACTGATAGCAGATACGGAAAAGAAATTACAAAATCTCCTACAGAAGGTAGCGACGGAGAGTGAGAAGAAAGGACTAAGTATAAACTACAAGAAGACACAATGCATGCAGATTGAGCCTGAAATGCGATTTGCAGGCCGGAGACACTGGAATCAAGCAGACTCTGAAGTTTAAATATCTGGGAAGTGTTTTGACAGAGGACGGTAAATGCGACGCTGGGCATCCGTAGACGTATTGGGATGGCCAAGGACGCATTCCAAAAGCCGCACAGAGTATTGCGAGACAGGAGGATCTTTTTGGTAACGAAGAAAAGAATATTGAGCTGTTTCATGACCTCTGTCCTTTTTTACGGCAGCGAATGTTGTACGATTTCCTCAAAGATGAACACGAGACTCGAGGTGACTGAGATGTGGTTCTACAGAAGGATGCTGAGGATATCATAAACCGAGCGTGTGAGCAACGATAAAGATCTTAGAGAGGATGCAAACAAGGAAGAGGCTTATACATAACATCAGGAAGAGACAGCAGAAGTTTCTGAAACAGGAAGGCCTGGAGAATCTGATACACACGGGTCGAATAGAGAGAAAGAGAGACAAGGGAAAACAACGCGTGTCATACCTGGCGGATGCAAGTGGATGACAGAACATGGTCTGAGGGGAGGAAGCAGAGGGAAGGAACTTGTTGAGAGCTTCAAGGGATAGAAGGAGGTGGAGAGCCATGATCGCACACGTCCTGAAAGGACATGGCACATAAAAGGAAAGAAACCAACCAAACTGAGTGACTGGCCACTTTCGCCACTGTATAAAGTGACGTCACGTGACTCACGTGACTTATCTCCACCAAAGGGAGATAATCGCCTTCTGTATTCCTATTGGGCGTGTCAGTGGTTAATGGAAGAAACAGAGAAACAACACCGACGTAAGACTGGTAAGTATTAACTAACCATTGGAAAACAGATTAAGAACAATCTGTGGATATTGAAGACGGTAGATGCTTCTAGACAAGGTGATCAAGGAAAGAGAGAAGAAATGACTACCTATATATTGCAATAAGAAAAATGTATGCTTCTTAGCAAAAGAAAGACCATGCAAACTCAGAAATTTAACTGGGAAGCGCTTTAACAAACGATGTCACATTGGAATAACAAAAGTATTTTTTTAATTGAGTTCTGCCCAAGTATGGCAATAAAGCCACTAAGACAGAAAGGGTTACTTAACGTGAAAGAATAAGAAAAAACCTTATTAAAGAGTGAAAATCGTCCTGGGTAAGACGATAAACTCCGTCAAACAGCAAGGCCTCTGATCACTTTTTGAGGAGCGTGGAACCACCTCTTAATTTTTGTTCCCAGGTCCACGCTGATACGGGGTGGTAGCACCTGTTAAGGCCCTATCTATGGGTAAATAATTAACCTCCAAATTAGGGTTAAAACACTAGCAAAAGAGGTTTTAATACCAGCAATACATTTTTGTAAAAAATTATTACCAGCAATAAATTTTTGAAGAAAAATTATAACCAGCAATACATTTTTGAAAAAAATATTACCAGCTATACATTTAAAAAAAGATTACCAGCTATAAATTTTTAAAAAAATACCAGCAATACATTTTGGAAAAAAAATATTACGAGCAATAAATATCTTGTCGGCATTAAATAACCCATTGAGGTGTTCATATGCAGCAAAAAAAAGCAGTGAAAACATTAAAAGAATAAGAATCAAGAAGGCCATACATAACGACTGATATTGGATTTAAATTTTTGAAGATCAAAGTTTGATGGAGAGCAGGATGTCGGGAAATAGTTCCACAGGTGAGAAGTGCGAAAGAAGAAACGTTAAGCACGGAACTTACGGTTGCATCTAGCCAATTCAACTGTAAATTGATGAGACCTTTATGCCAATCCAGTACTGCACTTAGATTCATAAAGTCTGTCTACCATAGAGAAAGGTTCATCAGAATAATTTCCATGAAAGCATGAAAGTATTTATAGAATAGACAGAGGGAAGCTACATTACGGCGGTTGGAAAAGGACTGAAGCCAAGATGCCAAGTCATGACCAACAACGTTTTTCGTCGAAAACAGAAAAAATCCTCAACTGTTTTGTTATTTAATAACAATCCTCCTATACGGCAGGAAATGCTGGACAATTTCTTCACAAATGAAAAAGAGGCTTGAGGCAGTGCGAATTGGGTTATGCAGAAAGATTCTGAGAATACCATGTACCGAACATGTGAACAATGGGGAAGTTTTAAAGAAAACGAAAAAGACACTTTTGCATAAGATCAGAAAGTCACAGTTGAAATTTCTGGAATTGCAGAAAGAGTTAAATAGACTTGGAGAATCTGATGTTCAGGAGACATATTAAAAACAAAAACTGAGGAAGAGTAAAAGGACAAAGTGGAGAGCCATGATCACCTACGTTCTGAAAGAACACTGTACATAAAAGAAGATAGTTCAAGGCCAAATTGAAGACTAAAATTACTATAGTTGTAATGATCGTCAAGACTAGGTTATTAAATTTTGTTTTTTTGTTTCTTTTTTAGTGATTATTATTTTTTTTTAGTTGATATGATTGTTATTATTAGTAAGGTTTTTCTTCTTTTTTTTTTTGGTAGTTACTTTTTTAATCATGACTACGATATGCCGTTTTAAATTTGTACCATCTGAGCGAGGCAAAAAAAAATGATGGAAGCCATTTTCGTAAAACGATGACGCAGCAAATTTTATATTTTCCCCCAGCAATGTCTGTTTTCTGTTCCTCCTCATCAAATTATTCTTTTATCTGTCTGTCTGTCTGTCTGACTGACTGACTAGCCAACTACCTCATTCCCGTTCTCCTTTTCGTCGAAAATATTCGGCGTTCATCATTTCTGTATTATTCCTTGTAAAATGCTCCCTAATTATTTCTAACTACAGACTGCAGTTCTGATGCAAAAGAACTGAAAAAAAATCACCAGGCTAATAAATTGAAAAGTAGATACTCCGCCAAGATTTTTTACTTTTTTCAAATTTTCTTTCATTTCTTCTTCTTCTTCTTCTTTTTCTTCTTCTTCTTCTTCTTCTTCTTCTTCTTCTTTTTGGTGTTTCTTTCACTTTTCCTATCATTTCTATTCCCGCTTTTTTCTCTTCTTTTCGTAGTCTTTTGTATCCTCCTTTTCTTCTTCTTCTTCTTCTTCTTCTTCTTCTTCTTCTTCTTCTTCTTCTTCCTTCTACTCCTCCTTCTTTCAATCTTCTTTCCCTTTCCTCCTCTTTTCTCTTCCCTCCTGTGCTTCGCTCTAGTTTTTCTCCTTTTCTTCTTCTGCATTTTATACTACTGCTCTTCTTTTTTGTTCTTTTTCCTAGTATTTCTTCTTCTTTCTACATTTTATATTCCCTCTTCTTTCGTTTCCTTTTTTCTTCATCTTTCTATTCGTTTCTCCCTCTCTTTCTTTTTCTTCTTCTTCTTCTTCTTATTCATTTTCTTTCCGTTTTCTTCCCTTATGTTCATTCTTCTTCTTCTTCTTTTTCTTCTTTTAATGCATTTATACACCTCTTATTTTTTTTTCTTCATTTTTCCTTCCCATTTTTCTTCATTTCTATTTTTCATTACTCGTCTAGTTTTTTCTCCTTCTTTTCTTCTTATTCCTATTCATTTTTCTTTCCTTCTTTCTTTTTCTTCTTTACCTGTTTTCTAATCACAACAACACAAATACTTTATAACTTTCTTTTCTCTCGCTATCATGTGTATACATTATCATGAATATTATTATTATTATTATTATTATTATTATTATTATGATTATTATTATTCCTCTGTTTCATGATTCTTTTTTTTCTTCCGTCTGCAATTTTTACAAAGTAATTCTTGGTTACATTTATTTATTGTTAACATCTCAATTTTCCTCACAAAAAAAAACAAAATGGCTGACGTCAGCAATTTAAAAACTGCTGACTTCAGGATATTTCTATCTATCTCTATCTCCCTCTTTCTCTCTCACTCTTTCCTTTTTTTTTTTTTTTTTTTCGCTATTTTCACAACTCTGATATCAGTCTTATCCCTGTGATTTATTCGCATCAAAGCATTGTAATTTAAAAAAAAAAATCAACTTTCCTCTTCTTTTGTCTCAGGGAACTGGGTCGATCATCGAACCCGAAGAGATTTTCAAAAATGTTTATCACTGAGACGCCCAACCAAATGTTCCATTAACACCGTTTCGTTCTCTATAACAAATGTAATTAGAAAATACAAAGTACTCGCCATCATTTAAACAAAAAATATGTCGTGTACTATGCTTTTTTTTTTTTTACTTTTTTTTTCATTCAGAAATCTTCAGAACAAGTCAGTGATAATGATTCAAGAATGCTGCCTCAGCATCGTCACATTGTCACGATTAGCCTGAATCTTCATTAATTATCAAATAATTTTAATGATTCACTTGCAAAGTGTTTTAGTCAGGAATTCACATATTTTTATTAATCATCATTTTTAATTAAGGAAAAGCAGGCAAGTTTGTTTTTCTTTTTTTTAAATTAAATATCTAAAGCAATTTATGAACAAGACTTTTAATGGTATATGCATAATCCAGTTACCCTAGAAAATATATTTGTTAGGTAAGGTTAACACATTTAACGAGATTTCAATCCTTGTTGGGCCGTTTAATATCAAATCAGTTACTCTTTTTATTTTTTATTTAGTTATATTTTTTATTTTAAATACAGAAATATATATATGTCTATAAATAGATAGTTTATATATGTATTAGACTCTCCCGTCGTATTCGACGTATGAGGGTCAAGCAGCTCAGTTCCTAGGAACCGACATCCCAGACCTCAGCACATATGATTCGATTATAGTGGTGAAAGCTTTGTGTAGAACCAACCACGTTTTTTGGAGGGTCGAATACAGAAACCTGGTGCACTACGTGTCACAAGGTCCCCAAACGACCCTCCGCAAGTTTTGAATTCAGGGTTGTCCTTCTCCTAGACCAGTTGCCATCCAAGGCTATAGAACCCATTCTGTCCTACTATTTACCCATAGCTGGGAGGAGAAGAAGAGGATTAATACTTTTCCCAAGAGTATTAGCACGTAAGTGAACGTAATGGATTCGACTGAATTCGAACTTGGCTCTCCGATTCCTCAATCCGAGCCGCTATCCATTAATATATATATATATATATATATATATATATATATATATATATATATATATATATATATATATATATATATATATATATATATATATTATATTATTATTATTATTAATATTATTATTATTAATAGAAATCTTATAAGTATAAGAAACTAACTCGCTCAGAAAACCTTCGGTGTCTTGATTTGCAAATAAAAAAAGGTATAAAAAAAAGAAAGAACAAAGAACATGTACGTTAGCCGAAAATAATCGTCCAATAAAGTCCAAGACCCAAAGAAAAAAAAACGATGCAAGTACGCAAAATAACTAAATAAAGTGCTCAGTACAATGAGTAGAGCAGACCTAGTTAAACCTAGAGAGCCAGACAAACCTACCGAGGTTTCACCTAAGCAGATCGTCAAGGAAGCCAGCCTTCCTGACGATCCGCTTAGTGAAACCTTCGTAGGTTTGACTGGCTCTCTAGGTTTCTTATATATATACACACACACACACACATATATATATATATATATATATATATATATATATATATATATATATATTGCTTAAATGTTATTTTTTATTGGATACCCATATGTGAGGAGATTCTCTTTTTATTTCTTTATTAAACAGTCGTCTCTGGCAGAACTCGTTGTCGAGTATTGGGTTGCTCATCGACATTTCCTTCTGTGTGAAATGAGTCCTATGTTGGATCTGTAGAGACGTCCGCAGGCACCGCGTGGTAGGGTTCAGGGGATAGAGAGTTCTTGCCTTTTCTTTGGGCTCCCGTCCTCTCTTCTGTTTGCCTTCTGGTGGTTTCGGAGGAATTTTATTTTTTTTCATGGACTGCTCTTCTCACATTGGTTCTTTCTGCAGCTTCCGTCTCCCAATTGCAGGATCGATTTCTGTCCTCAGCAAGGTGTTTTTGAGCTGATCCTTAAATCGACTACGACTAAATCGAAATAAATAAATATACTGTTTAATAAATACATAAAAACAGAGCATCTTTTCAAAGATGAGTATCCATTAAAATTAACGTTTAAGTATTAAATTAAAATATGGCGGATTAATAGCACGTGGCAGATTGATGTTATATTCAGTGCCTCGACATTAGAGTTTCAGAGTTTAACATTTTTGCAATTATTCGATCCATTCTTCAAAAGTTTGGTTTGTTTTGGTTTTACGGTATATCAGCCTCAATGGGTTATTTAATGCCGACAAGATTTTTAGGAAATATGTTCGTATGAATAGAATATGTATTCTTTGGTTTTGATTGGTTTGGTTTATTTTGTTTTACGGCATATCAACCTCAATGGGTTATTTCATTACGACAAAAAATTTTATGGCTGGTAATATTTTTTTAAATCTATTTCTGATAATATTTTTCCTTCAAAAAATCTATTTCTGGTAATAAGTTTTCCTCCAAAAATTCTTATTTCTGGTAATAATTTTCTTTCAAATATGCATTGCTGATAATATTTTTTCTTTCTTTTTTTTCAAAAAATGTATAGCTTGTAATAATATATTTTTCTTTTTTTTTTTTCAAAAATATATTGTTTATAATATATTTTTTTTACTTAAATATTTGTATCAATAAAAAAATAATGTATAAACATAAAAAATCTCTTAAAATAATTGTCGGACTTTGTCCATTTTTTATATATATATATATATATATATATATATATATTGAGAGAGAGAGAGAGAGAGAGAGATAACTAGACTCGTTTGAAAAACCCTCGAATTTTTTGATTTGCTAATAATCAAATCAATCTCGAGGGAAAAAAAGGTTTTAAAAAAGAAAGAGTTACAAACATGAACTTCTGTCGACAAAAATCGCACAGATGCAGGTCTGAAGCCCAAAGAAAAAAAACCGATACGAGTAAACAACTAACTAACAAAAGAGCTCAATACAACCGTAGAGCAGACCTAGATAAACCTAGTGAGCCAGACAAACCTACCTAGGTATATATATATATATATATATATATATATATATATATATAACAAAAAACGAGAAAAGAAACAGTTAATTGCTTATATCTCCTGACGAGTGGACGGAGCGATTGCTGCAGGGTCTGTCTACGAAACTCAACAGTCGGGATGCTGAAGGTAATATCAATCAGCTAAGTGACAAATTTTATATTTGTGTTAATCCTATATATCTATATAAAGATAGGGAGGTGATAGTGAGTGAGTGATTTTAACAAAAAAAATCATGTCTTGAATAATCGCCAAAGCCTTTCGAATGGAGAAAGGAATAATTGATTGTTACATGAATACTGATCAGTAATCGTGATAATGGTGGTACCTTTTATAGGGATGGGGGTGATTGATTTCGATAACTTCTAAAATTAATTAAATTTCTTTTAAGAAAAACCGCTTTAAAGCTATAAAAAATGTTCTTTTTTTCTCTCTCTCTCTCTCTCTCTCTCTCTCTCTCTCTTTCTCACTCACTCTCTATGGTTTCATTCTCTCTCGCTCACTTTCTCTCACTCTCTATTTTTCCCTTTGTTTCTCTTTGTCACTCACTCTCCCTGCCTCCCTCTCCCCTCTCTCTCATTCTCTCCTCCGTTTTTATCTCTTTCTCACTCACTCTCACTACCCACCTCTCCCCTCTCTCTCTCTCTCTCTCTCATTCTCTCTCACTCCCTTTCCCTACTCCTCTCTCTCTCGCCTCTCTCTCATTCTCTTTCTAACTTTCTATCTCTTTCTCAAACACTCTTCCCTACCTCCCTCTCCGTCACCTCTCTCATTCTCTCTTTCTTTCTCTTTCTCACACTCACTACCTACTTCTCCCCCCCTCTCTATCATTCTCTCTTTTCTATCTCTTTCTCACTTTCTTTCCTTAACTACCTCTCCCCTCTCTCTCATTCACCTTTTCTCCTTTTCTATCTCTTTTTCAATCACTCTCCCTACCTACCCCTCTCTACCGTTTCTTACTCTCTCTTTCACTCGCTTTCTCTCTTTCATTCTCCGTTTCTATTCCTTTCCACCTCTCTCTCTCTCTCTCTCTTTCTCACTCACTCTCTATCTCTCTCATGGTTTCATTCTCTCACGCTCACTTTCTCTCACTCTCTATTTTTCCCTTTGTTTCTCTTTGTCACCCACTCTCCCTGCCTCCCTCTCCTCTCTCTCTCTCATTCTCTCCTTCTCCGTTTTTATCTCTTTCTCACCCCTTCTCCGTTTTCTCTCTCTCTCTCTCTCTCTCTCTCTCTCTCTCTCTCTCTCTCTCTCTCACGTATCGAGCGTTCCTAAAAATATTCGTTTTCTTTTGATATTGTTTAAAATATTGCAGGGAGGGCTGAAAACATGCCGTTTAAACGCGGTGTTCAGAGATCCATTACGAGAAATGAAGAGCCGACCTCCACGCTGTTCGATGCCAACAGATGGAGATGATGTTTTTATAGCCGTGGTCTGTGGGTGAGGGTAATGAAGGCGGCAAAATGATACACGGCGATGTTTTGTTGATTTTACTACCATCAACCAATGTCGGCACATTTTCGAATAAAGATTTCTGGCGCCGGAAAACGACTGGATGCAAATTGGTGCATGTCCACAGCAGCGTCACCAATAAAACATGAGAATTTCTTTCCCGACATCCATTCTTTCCTACCCATCCATCCATCCATGCATCTATCTATCTATCTATCTATCTATCTATCTATCTATCTATCTATCTATCATATAGACATGTCTTTTTCCTTCCTTCCTCCCTTCCTTCCTTCCTTTCTATCTATCTGTCTGTCTCGGGCCGTTCATTATCTATCTATCAATCTATCTATCTATTTGTCCCTATCGAGCTAGTTATCTATTCCAGTCTACTTCTATCTATCTATCTATCTATCTATCTATCTATCTATCTATCTATCTATCTATCTATCTATCTATCTGTCTGTCTTTTTCCTTCCTTCCTTTCTATCTATCTGTCTGTCTATCTCAGGCCGTTCATTATCTATCTATCTATCAATTTATCTATTTGTCCCTATCTAGCTAGTTATCTATTCCAGTCTACTTCTATCTATCTATCTATCTATCTATTTATCTATCTGTCTGTCTGTCTGTCTTTTTCCTTCCTTCCTTTCTATCTATCTGTCTGTCTATCTCAGGCCGTTCATTATCTATCTATCTATCTATCTATCTATCTATCTATCTATCTATCTATCTATCTATCTGTCTATCAATCTATCTATCTATTTGTCCCTATCTAGCTAGTTATCTATTTATCTATCTATCCCAGTCTACTTCTATCTATCTATCTATCTATCTATCTATCTATCTATCTATCATATAGATATGTTTTTCCTGCCTTCTTTCCTTCCTTCCTTCCTTCCTATCTATCTACCATGTTTATATAAATAGGTATTTCTTCCTTCCTATCTCTCTGTCTGTTATATAGATATGTCATTTTCCTTCCTTCCTATCAATCTATTTATCTATCTGACTGTCTATCTATCTATCTATCTATCATATAGACATGTCTTATTCCTTCCTTCCTTCCTTTCTATCTATCTGTCTGTCTCAGGCCGTTTATTATCTATCAATCTATCAATTTATCTATTTGTTCCTATCTATCTATCTCTCATATAGATATCTCTTTTTCTTTCCTCCCTTCCTTCCTTCCTTCCTTCCTTCCTTCCTTCCTTTTTCCTTCCTATCTATCTGCTTGTCTCGGGCCATTCATTATCTATCTATCAATCTATCTATCTATTTGTCCCTATCTATCTATCTATCTATCTATCTATCTATCTATCTATCTATCTATCTATCTATCTATCATATAGATGTTTTTCCTGCCTTCCTTCTTTCCTATCTATCTACCATATTAATATAAATATGTATTTCTTCCATCGTTCCTTCCTATCTATCTATCTATCTGTCATATAGATATGTCATTTTCCTTCCTTCCTATCAATCTATTTATCTATCTGACTGCCTCAAGCCGTTCGTTATCTATCTATCTATCTATCTATCTATCTATCTATCTATCTATCATATAGACATGTCTTTTTCCTTCTTCCTCCCTTTCTATCTATCTGTCTGTCTATCTCAGGCCGTTTATTATCTATCAATCTATCAATTTATCTATTTGTCCCTATCTATCTATCTATCTATCTATCTATCTATCTATCTATCATATAGGCATCTCTTTTTCTTTCCTTTTGTAAAAAGCTCTTTAAATTTACCAGTTTAATCATTAGAATGCGAGTCACTTTTTTTGCACAGAGTTTTTTTTCCCTGAATCTCATTTATATCCAAATTTATAATTATTAATAGAATACCTTAGGGTGAATAAACTTTTTTTCCTAGGTGGTCGGGAAGGGGTTTTTATATTATTAAGATTAAAAATCATTAACCCCAAAAACAATACACAAAAAATATTTTTAGTTAAAAAAATCAGGTGAGTCACTTTTGTCGAACAGCTTTTGTATATATATATATATATATATATATATATATATATATATATATATATACACGCAAACGTCATACCAACCGTACCACAGGCCTCGGTGACGAAGAAGGCACAGACTAGACTCGATAAAGCGCCGCTACTCACTCAGTTCCGCAGCGATACTCATCCAAGTATAACCTCGGAACAGTGCCCCAAGAGCCAAGTCTGCTTATTGACCCTCAAGTACATTAGCTTTCTGCATTCTGTGGAAGATTATTCTGGGCTCGATGAATTACTGTATACGATTATTCTTAATCCTAAAAATATTTCTTCACTTTATATCCTTGTTTGACCCAGCTAATGCTATATCAAGTCTAGTTTGTGTTTTCTTCGTTACCGAGGCCCGTGGTACAGTTGGTATGACGTTTGTGTTGTATCGAAATGCTGATGAGTCCAGTGCTTTCTGCATTCCGTTAAAGATTATTCTGGGCTCGATGAATTACTATATATGATTACTCTAATTCCCCCCCCAAAATTCTTCACTATATATATATATATATATATATATATATACAAAATATATATATAAATGATGTAATATTAAATCTTATAGATATATCTAAAAAACCTTTGACTACCTACTATCTGTATCATTCTGTTCATATCTATGACATGGTGCTCTTTACTTCAGGCCAAGTCACGGTCAGAACTGTAGGCTTATCTCAAATCTTGTCGTTCCTCTGGTAATGTAGATCTTTAGTTACGATTGAGGTTTGTGTTTGTTCGCTGCTGCAGTCGGCTTAAGCAATTCAAAGAAAAGGGGAGAGATTAAAAGCATAATTAATTTAACTTGAAAGGTTAATCCTCTTTATCTTGGTGCATATATATATATATATAATCAACTCTTCCGTCGAGATTCGACGTATGAGGGTCAAGCAGACCAGTTTCCAGGAAACCGACACCGGCACATGAGATTTGATTATAGTGGTGAAGGCCTCGTGCAGGACCATCCACACTTTTTGAAGAGACGAATACAGAGACCTGGTGCACCGAATGCCACAAGGTTCCCAAACGACCCTCCGCAGGTTTTGAATTCAGAGTTGTCCTTCTAGACCAGTTGCCATCCAAGGCTATAGAACCCAGTCTGTCCTGCTATTTTACCCATAGCTGGAGGGAGAGTAAGAGGATTCACACCTTTCCCAAGGGTATTAGCACGTAAGTGAATGTAATGAATTCGACTGGAATTTGAACTCGGCTCTGCGATTCCTCAATCCAAGTCGCTATCCATTACTCCACCGTGCCTATATATATATTTACTTATTACCTATATATATATTTACTTATTACCATTAATAGTTAATTTGACGAAGCTTCAGATCCATCACCTCCCACCTCGTTAAGGAGGGTGTGCCAAATGTTAAATGCGTTTTAATTCTTTCAATTAATTATCCATGTTAAAACAGTTTTAATGAATCAAAAACTATATCGAAACTATGTTTGGTTGACTTTGTTTAACGACATATCGACACCTCTATGGGTTATTTAATGCCGAAATGTAAATATTTTGTAAGCATTTTTTCATTTTGTTTTTGGAGATGATAATGGTTTAGTGATACAAGCCTTACTAATTAACCCATAGATAGGGAAAGAAGAGGTGGATTCGTACACATCCCAAGGGTCCTTGCGATTAAATAACGAAGCCATCTGGAATTAGAAGTCGACTCTGCGATTAACAGTTCCTAACGATTATCCATTACACCATCCGCACATCCAAGTTTACGGTACCTGGTCTTCCCAAGCGTCGGAAAAAAATTCTGGGGAAAATAAGACATGAAACAACCTTTTTATTATTATTATTCAGTCGTGTGCTATGCGTGATACATGCTTAAGCGATCATGTATCTTTCGATACATGACTGACGAGGAAGATTTTTTTCTTTTCGGCGGTAGGTTGCCATTTCTTTCTGCGGTAGAACAGCTGCTATCCAATTCTATAGAACCCGGTCTGCCCTGCTCTTTACCCATAGCTGGGGGGAAAAGAAGAAGATTCATACCTTTCTCAAGGGTATTAGCACGTAAGTGAATTTTAGCCAATTATGTGCTATGCATGATACACGTTTAGGCGATCATGTATCTTTCGATACATGACTGACGAGGAAGATTTTTTTCGGCGGTAGGTTGCCATTTCTTTCTGCAATAGACCAGCTGCCATCTGAGGCTATAGAAGAGCTGTCTTGCTCTTTACCCATGGCTGGGGGAGAAGAAGAGGATTCATACCTTTCCCAAGGGTTAGTCAGTCAGTTGTGAGCCACGCGTGATACACGCTTAGGCGTTCATGTATCTTTCGATACATGACTGGCGAGGCAGATTTTTTTCCCCGCAGTAGGTTACCATTTCTTTCTGCGGTAGACCAGTTGCCATCCTATTTACCCATAGCTGGATGGGGGAGAAGAAGAGGATTCATACCTTTCCCAAGGGTATTAGCACGTAAGTGAATGTAATGGATTCGACTATCCACCGTCTATTATTTTTACTATTTATAAATAGACTGTATGAATTTAAGCGCAATACTCGACTGGCGTCGAGATCTCATCAATTTTACTGATGATTTCTAATTTCATTTCGAGTTCTAATCCGAGGTGGGTTCAATTGTATTCATTTACTCGTAAGACTCTTAGGAAGAATATGAATCCATCTCTTTTACAGTCGACCTAGTTAGATGTAGCCGTAAGTTCGATGGTAACAGTTTCATAACTACAATGTCAATCGCTGTCTACTGTCCTCCTGATTGCTCTTTTCTCTTTCTTCTCATTACTAATGTTTTCTGTTCCTAATTTCCCCCCCACACACACACACACCCTGTAAACCCTTGCGTGTTTGTGGCTGTACTGCCTTGCTTGGGGCGGGGGGGGGTGATACCGATTAGAAAAAATATTTTATTCTTTGTTTTAGAATAAACCTGTAATAAAGTAACTGTTGCTATGCTGACTTACTTGCCACACATATACTTTTTATGACTATAAAAGTAGTTAGAAAAAAATTGCCTCCTAAAAATGCGTGGTCTAGCAGCAAGGTTATGGTTAACGTTCTGTACACCTCGTTTACAATATCTGAAAAATCGGATTAAATTTATTGAAATTAATTATGACATTAACTCTACGTATCATCATCATCATCACTATCCTGTAAGCCACGAGGGTCGTCGAGGCAGAAAAGGGAGTGATGTTTTCAGACAGCCTGACGGAACGCAGCCCTCGCCAGAGTTCTTAATAAATTCTTTTTCATTCATTTTGTAGCATAAAACATTATGTTTTGTACTATTTTATGTTTTTTTAACGTTAAACTAAATTTTGCTAAACTAAAATTACGAAACAGTAAACAAAAATTTAACATTTTTTAATGCTTTTTAGGAAGAAAACACAAACTGCTCATAAAAAAATTAATTTTTTTTTTTAAATTGACTTTTGTGCGGTCTAACCACTTTCGCCCCAGCCCCCCTCAACCTACGACGTCTTACTCTCTGGGTTATCTATTCAGTCTTAACCGAACTTAAGGGAGTGGCCGTAGGTCCCCTGAGCATCCGTAGATCATTCGACCGGTCCGCTGGTTTAATCCTGCTTCCTGCCCACGTTGTGTTTGCTTTGATCCAGAAAGCAGAAGTGATATTCATCCATTCACGGTCGACTGGAGATGTAGACACGGCTGGAGAGTCTGTGCTAAGAAATCTAGAATGCACCATATATATATATATATATATATATATATATATATATATATATATATATATATATATATATATATTTCTGCAGTAAGCCGAACAAACAACTATTCAATTGTTAATGTATTTTATATAGCAGAAAAGACTAGTATAGAAAAGAAACGGGTTACAGAAAAGAAAAGTAATTGACGTAGAAATGCATACACTGGATTCTAGACAGAGAGAGAGAGAGAGAGGGTTGTGATTAGCTTGTTGTGTAATCGTCTCAGAACGATATGCGTCTCTTGATTATTGTAGCTTGTTCGACGTTTCCGTTTCCAGTGGTAGTAATAATAGTAGCAGTAGTAGTAATCTTCGTGGTAGCAATAATAGTAGCAGTAGTAGTCTTAGACGTTGGAGGAGTAATTCACTTCTTCGTACTTACATCAACAAAATATGTTAGCGGGCGTTTGTCTGACGTCATTCCCAATCTCCGACCTCTCTCCCCAGCTCAACTGCATTCGACGGCAGACCAGCCAACCACTCTTTGACTCTTCCGTCTAGCTCTTCCGTCCGGCTCTTCCGTCTCTCCTGTAGCACCGCGGCCCGTAATGGTCGCCTGCGGGTGCTCACGCACGTGACGACGATGTGCCGACCGATCGCGGTCTCTCCCGTCTCTTTCTTCCGTCTGCACTCGACGGCAGACCAGCCAACCACTCTGTCAACAGATTTCTGGGCGCGTTTATATAGATAAGCCTGGCTGATCACAAATCGACCCTTGGTCCTCACACGATTATTATGAGTCAACCCAAAACCATGTGAGTTTCAAAGTTCTCATAGCCTGAGTAAGCTCTATTTCAACTTTAACCGACAAACATTATTTCAATCATTTTTCATTGTCTTTTCTAATGACCCAACTCCAAATGGGCGAGATCAGGTTTCCCTCAGTAAACAAAATTCTTCTGATCTAATTTCGCTGTTCAAATCCACTCCAATTTCAATAAAAAAAATAAAATATATATGAGTGTGGGTGTTTATGCGTTTTCCAAACTCTCTATATCACAGTGGTTTAGCAACAAGGTTAGGCTTAATATTTTCTACGCCTCGTTTACAATATCTAAAATATCAGATTAAATTTATTGAATTTAATTTTCACATTAATTCAACAACCTTCTAGATAATTTATTTTTTTTCTCAATTTGTAGTATAAAATATCACGTTTGCACCTATTTCGTTTTTTAAACTAAAACTTTTTGTGATGTCAACGAACACTCGTTGCCACTTGTGATGTCAACGAATACTCGTTGTCACTTTCGTTGTAGTAGAGACTTTGTAATCGCAGATACAATTCATAGAAAACGCCGTTGAACAATACTGGTGTCAGTCGCCTTTGAATATCACTCGCACTAATAGTTCTTGCTCGATAATACTCGCTCGAATAGTAATATGTATCGTGATCCGAATAGTATAGGGAATAGAGTAGAGAATAGAGATCAGTATAGTAATAGAGGATAGACTAGAAATAGCGATCCGTATTGTAATAGAGGATAGACTAGAATTGCAGATCAATCTAGACGTCACGTGACTTCTCATATATGCGTTTCCTGTATGGTCACATGATCTACCTAATTCAATAATGGGATTGCCTGTGTTTGTTCACTGATGATCTATGTTCAAACTCAAGTGTCGGCAGCGACACTTTATTCCTGTATAACAATATAATTTTTGTCTTTTGTGATGTCAACGAACACTCGATGCCACTTTTGTAATGTCAACGAATACGCATTGTCACTTTCGTAATATTCGTTGTAGTGGAGACTTTGTAATCGTAAATACAACTATAGTAACGCTGTTGAACAATACTAGTGTCAGACGCCTTCGAACAACACTCGCACTTGTACTTGTTTGATAATACTCGCTCGAATAGTAATCCGTATAGTGATCCGAATAGAGAATAGTATAGAGAATAGCGATTATTTTCCTAGCCAATAAAATAGGCTGGTTCTCGGTTTGACCTGACACAGTCCCGGTCTGTCTTGTCTTGAAGTCAGAACACTACGTTCGTTGTCCGAACTTGTTTTTGTGTATCGACGACAATTATGAGTTTGTGAACTTGTTACCACATTACTGTTGCTTTGCCTTATTACTGTTAATTTGCCTTGCATATATTGTTTGTTTTTTTTTTTGGGGGGGGGGGTTATTATTTTTGCCCTGTTCTTTTTCTTGTTGTTGCTCATTGAAAAATTGTAAATTTTCTCAATTCTGTTTCTTGGACAGTTCTGTTATTTTGCATTTGACCATGGCTACCGACTCCACTGTGGAAAAGACGATAATTTTTGTGATGTCAACGAACACTCGTTGCCACTTTTATGATGCCAACGAATAATCGTTGTCATTTTCATAATACTCGTTGTAGTAGAGACTTTGTAATCGCAGATAGAACTATAGTAACGCCGTTGAACAATACTGGTGTCAGACGCCTTCGAATAACGATCACACTAATAATACTTGCTCGATAAAACTTGCTCGAAAAGTAACCAGCGAATAGTAATCCGCGTAGTATAGAGAATAGAAATAGTAGATAGAATAGAGAATAGCGACCCGTATAGTAATAAAGGATAGGGTAGAAATAGGGATCCTTATAGTAATAGAGGATAGAGTAGAAATAGTGATCAATTAGATATCACGCTACTACCTACTTATGTGAAAATTTATTTTGACCAATGGGAAAAGGAGCGGCTTACAAACTGAGAAAAAAGTAACGAGCCGATGTGAAATAAATAGGCAGAGAAAGAGAAAAAGCAGAAAGAAGCAGGAGGCAGAAAAATCCAGAGTTCCACGTATCTGAATAACGCCGGGGACAAATTACACGCTGATACATTATCAACCTCCAATGAGAACAGGACAATTACAAAGAACTCTATTCAACTCCAAAGCTAAGTATCTTAAAATACATCTTTTCATTCATGTTGAATACAACCGTATAACTTTTACGTGAAAAACGAACTCTCTCAATTTCTTTTAAACATTTTGTAATATTACTTTATATATTTAGTGTCTGATGATTTCATATGAACATTTTCTCTTCTTGACAAGTCATCGAAACTACGAAATTTAAATATTTGATTCTTTTTTCCGGAAACAAGCTACTGACAACTTCAAATGTGTAAATTTGTAAATAAATTCCTTATCTTGTTTCGCTAAATATAACACGTGTGTTTCCTCGTCATTATTCCTCATTTACTTCAGAATCATGCGGGCGCAGAATTGAAATGTGTTTTGAAAAAGGAGGCCATTTTGAACAGAACATATAACAATTAAATAACTACAGCCTGTCTGAAGTTATTATGCAAATCAAATAAACCTCAATAACTCAAAAAGTTCTGAACTAATATTTAACAATGCCTTCATTTCTATCTTTAGTAAAATATTTAGTTAAATTTTCTGACATTTTTAATGGATAGCTTTTGAGATATTTGGAATCTATGAAAATGGACTGACCGAAGTTATGCAAATTAAACTGATATTTTATTTACATTATTCGGACTATTGTCCTCATCTTTGTCGCCATATTTATCACAACGTTTCGGCCGTTGTACGCTCCGGCCTTCTTCAGGTGGTTGGAATTTCGAACAAGGACACATGGCACAGTGGATAAAGGCGTTGGTTAGATCCAGTGACATGACCCAAAGAGTGGGAGTTCAATACCCGGTTAAGGCAGTGCAGAACTTTTAGAGGGAAATTAGCTGGAGATAACTGATAACTGACATCCATCAAACATGGCACGTGGAACTAGAACAGTCTACCCCAGTAAGCAAAATAAAGGATTCAGTTCGAAATTCCAACCACCTGAAGAAGGCCGGAGCGTACAACGGCCGAAACTTTGTGATAAATATGGCGACAAAGATGAGGACAATAGTCCGAATAAGGTAAATAGTGTACAAAATACCTCATCTCAGAAATATAGACAAATACAGAAGAGCCGAAACGTTGTGATAAATATGGCGACAAAAATGAGGACAATAGTCCGAATAAGGTAAATAGTGTACATAATACCTCATCTCAGAAATATAGACAAATACTGAAGAGCCGAAACGTTGTGATAAATATGGCGACAAAGATGAGGACAATAGTCTGAATAAGGTAAATAGTGTACATAATACCTCATCTCAGAAATATAGACAAATACTGAAGAGCCGAAACGTTGTAATAAATATGGCGACAAAGATGAGGACAATAGTCCGAATAAGGTAAATAGTGTACATAATACCTCATCTCAGAAATATAGACAAATACTGAAAGGCAGGAACATTGAAATAAATATGGCGACAAAGATGAGGACAATAGTCCGAATAAGGTAAATAGTGTACATAATACCTCATCTCAGAAATATAGACAAATACTGAAGAGCCGAAACGTTGTGATAAATATGACGACAAAGATGAGGACAATAGTCCGAATAAGGTAAATAGTGTACATAATACCTCATCTCAGAAATATAGACAAATACTGAAGAGCCGAAACGTTGTGATAAATATGGCGACAAAGATGAGGACAATAGTCTGAATAAGGTAAATAGTGTACATAATACCTCATCTCAGAAATATAGACAAATACTGAAGAGCCGAAACGTTGTAATAAATATGACGACAAAGATGAGGACAATAGTCCGAATAAGGTAAATAGTGTACATAATACCTCATCTCAGAAATATAGACAAATACTGAAAGGCCGAAACATTGAAATAAATATGGCGACAAAGATGAGGACAATAGTCCGAATAAGGTAAATAGTGTACATAATACCTCATCTCAGAAATATAGACAAATACAGAAGAGCCGAAACGTTGTGATAAATATGGCGACAAAGATGAGGACAATAGTCCGAATAAGGTAAATAGTGTACATAATACCTCATCTCAGAAATATAGACAAATACTGAAGAGCCGAAACGTTGTGATAAATATGGCGACAAAGATGAGGACAATATTCCGAATAAGGTAAATAGTGTACATAATACCTCATCTCAGAAATATAGACAAATACTGAAGAGCCGAAACGTTGTGATAAATATGGCGACAAAGATGAGGACAATAGTCTGAATAAGGTAAATAGTGTACATAATACCTCATCTCAGAAATATAGACAAATACTGAAGAGCCGAAACGTTGTAATAAATATGGCGACAAAGATGAGGACAATAGTCCGAATAAGGTAAATAGTGTACATAATACCTCATCTCAGAAATATAGACAAATACTGAAGAGCCGAAACGTTGTAATAAATATAGCGACAAAGATGAGGACAATAGTCTGAATAAGGTAAATAGTGTACATAATACCTCATCTCAGAAATATAGACAAATACTGAAGAGCCGAAACGTTGTGATAAATATGGCGACAAAGATGAGGACAATAGTCCGAATAAGGTAAATAGTGTACATAATACCTCATCTCAGAAATATAGACAAATACTGAAGAGCCGAAACGTTGTGATAAATATGGCGACAAAGATGAGGACAATGGTCTGAATAAGGTAAATAGTGTACATAATACCTCATCTCAGAAATATAGACAAATACTGAAGAGCCGAAACGTTGTGATAAATATGGCGACAAAGATGAGGACAATAGTCCGAATAAGGTAAATAGTGTACATAATACCTCATCTCAGAAATATAGACAAATACTGAAGAGCCGAAACGTTGTGATAAATATGGCGACAAAGATGAGGACAATAGTCCGAATAAGGTAAAT